CTGCTGAAATCAGAATCCATGATAAATCATTCAAAGATAAACCTGCTTTAGTGGTTCCATAGAAGCCTTGAACTTTACAGGGCTATCCTCCATGAAAATCAACCAACCAATTGTATAGTAAAAGGTTGTCCTGCTGCGAGAGCATCTATACTCTTCTAAGAATGGGAAGTGCTCCCTCTGGAATCAGACAAGTAAACACATAATGATCGCTATTAGAGACTAAAACAGTGATATGCAAAAACAAAAGACTTCTGGAAGAAGAATTACAGTGTGATTTGCAATAATAAATGTCACGGTGTCCAGTTTCAAAAGCAGCTTCCCAGTCATATATCTACAAGAAAAAAAAATATACCAAAACCCAAAACTTTAATCAGGAAATATATAAAAACCAATAATGCAACAACAGGTGTACATGAAAAATAATCAGGCAAATCACAGATAGCATCATATCAATCAGGTAGTCATAGAAGGTTACCCAGATGCCAACTCCTGAAACAAACTTAGCGTGTGATCAATGACCTCCTCACTCTGGAGAAAAGTAAAACAGGTCATTTGAACAATAGGTGAGTTTGATGTCTATAGCAAACTATAAAATTCAAAAAACAGTGAAGAACATTAGATTACCATTGTGTAACACTTTAAATTTGTTGCAATCTTTCCAACAATCACGTTTAGCAACATTAGATGATCGTGGAGTCCAAGAAGATCCTTCAATCTGGCATACAACTGCTGTAACAGAATAACAAAAGTCTCAAGGTATATGCATAAAACCAGACCGTTATATCAAAAGAAGCAGGAAATGAGTTTACTTTTGATGAATGCATGGCCTGATCACCAACGTAAGACTTTCGGAAATTCTGGAAGAAGGTAAGAATTGCTCGATCAAGCCTTTGCTTACTTATTTCACCATACCTCTGCAGAAAAGTTAATGTTCCATTCATCATTCTAAACACAGGAGATACATCGAATTTGGGAGGAAAATACCATTGGAAAAAGTCCATAGTGAAAGCAGAAGGATGTTCAAAACAGGACATCTCAATGTGGCTAGCACCAAATAAAACTACACTCAACAAGGTAAATTGAATCATTTTATCTACAAATTGCAGTAAAGTTTTATAACGGCAGATTCACAGGCTTATGTACATATGCTAGACCTTTGAGCCACATTGATGGTGAATATTTTGGAAATATTTGATTATACAAAATTCACACAGGTTTGTCAAGCAGCTGCATCAACTTAGGTAGTTTACAACTTTTTCATGACTACCATCCATATTTGGCAAATTAGGAGTCAACATATAGTCTGTCAATGTTTTATTTCAATTTGAACAATTAACCGCTTGCAGATTTCAGCTGTATTACCTGCCTGTGGAGCCCACTGTCCATAACATTTACTAGTTGCAAAACACGGGCAGAAAGTTCAGCATCAAGCACTTCTTGTGTCTCCACACTGCATAATATCCAATGTGCATATGGTGTGTTATTCCTCAGTAGAAAATAAGAGACAACCAAGGTCGGAAAGGAACTTACCTACAGCCACTGCACTGCTTTATCTTAACAATGGCAGCAACAATATGCACAAGCCAGGACAATTTAGCTTCGATAAGTGCCAGTTCAGAGTTGTCGGCAATCTGTAACTGTGCTCTTTCCTGCAACACAATCACGCATGCATAAGGTTACAAAGAACATATGAAATGACAAAACCACCATAAAAAGAAGGGAAGATATAATGGAAGAGGGTTTACCGTGTATGATTGCAGAAGAGGCTCCATAGTGTTTATTATATACAGGCCACACCTTTCATACTGCATTAGAAATAATCCCAGATGCAACTTAATTGTATGAAGACAATACAAGACTGATGTAACCGACAGGTGCATGTAACAATATATTTAGTTTCCAAAAGATACCCAGGTAACGCAAACCTGAAATCTACAGAGGTAAGGAAAGCAATCCAGCTCATCCTGCAGGACTTCAATTTTATCCAATGGATGATCAGTTGGATCATCAGGGATTCCAGCCTAGAAAAGAGCATTATAAATAGGAACAGATTTAAGATGAATTACGATACGAATTATGATACAACGCCAACAAAATATGTGGTGCTATACCTGTACAGAATTGAACCTGGATATGATAAAACCCTCTGTAATCTTAGGCACAAATTCATCGAGTAGACTCGGTGAATCACCCTTCAAGTATGGGACAGAAGCCACTAATCTGGACCACATTCCAAGAAGGTAATACACACTGCTGCTGGCCCACTGTAAGAAAGTAGATTCACAAGGTTGTCACGATCTGGACACCATCTCAAATAACCATTCAAAAGACAGAAAGCACATATGTCATGCAACCAGAATGGCAGAACCTCGAGGAGAGTATTATTATCTATAATTGACTTTCTCAACGATACACAGAAGTAAGCTCTTTCAGTAACCTACCTGCCACGACTGAAGAGACTTCAACGTAAACTCTGCCACCAACTGTATCCAGTCACCATAACCTTCCATCTTCACAAGTTCTGACAACTGCAGATAATTTCATACATTACATTCACGAAACATAGAGAAAAACAGACATACAACAATGATCAACAAATTTACTAAAGATAACAACTTGAATGTTGAAAAGTGGTGTAGCTTATCCAATTGTTATCCACAAACAAACAGGGTAGACAGATTCCACCTAGGACACATCATGGAAACTTACACTAATGGTTTCATAGCAGTTGTCATATAAAGATGGTGTATGACATAGATATTTACCTGATAGTTTAACCTAAAACGCCCGAGAAGACGGCAGAAGACATGGTAATTATCATGGTCTGCCAGCCCTGATCCAAACAAGAATAATTTGTATTGCAAGGTCAAAAGGGAGAAAAGCAAGATATCGAATCTATAAGGAAACAAATATGCAGGTAACACCAAATCAGCAAGTACTGGCCATAACTCATTCATATGGCTGCATGCATAGACTAAAACCTCAGCAATGAAGGAGTAAAGTAAATGGCACAGTTGCATAAGCTGTAAGATTCTACCAGTAGCACAGTTTGTAGCAAGACAACACCAAAAGAAGAGCCCTACATAGAATTAACCAACTATACCTTTTCCTGTTTGTAGAATTTCTCTCGTCCCTGTCATCAGATGAGCTAAAAACTTTGAGCGTGTTGCATCATTTGTGAACAAAGAGCGTCTTACAGAAGCCAACCTCACCAAGCACTCAAGTGCCTAGAAGTTTAAATAGAAGAACACCAATGAAGAGGAAATTTGTGACATAAAATATGAGATAAAAAAAATGGTGAAGTCACAAAGCATCTGAAATCTTCTACCACAATAATTTCAATGAGAAACAAGAATGGTGAGAACAACAATGGCTTACAAATTGAAACACAAAACAAACAAATAGCACACAGAAAAAGGATAGAATGATAATGATGACTAACTCTACATTTGATATAAAAGTAGCTGATATGATTCCTAAGAGCCTCTTCAATATCTTGCGCAGAGTAGCCAAAGGAAACATCACTATGAAACACAGGTGATTCAGTAATTTACATTAACACTATCCCAATAGTTGTTCTCTCATAGACTATAATACCAAAGCAAAACACATGAGAAGAATCTGTATGAGAGATTTAAGCTACAGAAAAATCTTTCTCGTGAAATTTTAGTAGCGGCAAGCAACAAATGATTCGCTCCATTCCAAAACTCAAGCCCCTTCAACATCACATAGAAATTATCCATAAAAACTTCTAATTTGTCCGGAAGTTCTCTATTTAGATCTGCACTTTATTGGTATTGTACACCACATAAATCATTTCCAGATACTGCCATTTTTGCTGTATTTTGCACCAAATTATCTCCAGTTAACATAAGTTCATGTATTCTAGGATTACCTTTCTATATTTTCCTTTTCTTCACCAGCATTTTTGTTGTTTTGAAATTCAATTCCAGTAGAAAAACAAAAACAAATAGAAAAAAAAAATCGAATGCAGAAAAAGTCAGAACAGACAAACCTCTTTTGAAAGAGGGGGTTCTGTGGTAGCATAGTAATCAAAAAAGATCTGCAGCGTAGAAGAATCCTCCAATACTGACCTCCAGGAAGTTGGAATCTGACAATAATCCACAATAACTACACTAGTCAGGAGGATCCATGGAAAAGAAGCACAAGAAAATTGTCAATTTTTGAGAACAGGAGGAAAGATGCAACTTGATCGATCTACCTGAACTGTACCAAACTCCTCTGAACTTTCATCAATTGAAGTTCCAACGAAATCAAATGATACACACCTAAGGGTAAGGGAAAGCACCAATTCTTGCAAATGACCAGCAGCTGCTTACAAAGATAATCTCCAAACCATCAGAACTTAACAGCCCAAAAAACCATACATATATACATCTATAGAGGTTAGACATACTTCTTGGTTACCAAAGCATTCAATATTTGTTCCAAGATTTTAGGAACCGGGTCCACACATTGTTCATTGATGTTTAATGAGTGTATTCCTAAGCTTTCAAATTAACCACACATGCTGATCATGGCAGAAACAGTAACAATTGACAAGGAAAAGACTGACAGAACTATATGATTTAGACAAAGAAAACCTTCTCAGAATACCTAAATGGGGTGTCCACATTCACGACTCACGAGTGAGCAAGATTTCGCATGTGCGCGAAGAAACGAACAGAAAGGTAACACGATGCTATACATAATTAAGTATAATATTTTACCATCATTTTTCAGATAATTCAATGACGTCAAAGCTATTCGGAATATTTGCAATAAGGATTGGTCCCTGAAATTGCACGCGACCCTCCGATGATGTGTAGAAGGAAGCCCAGGATTCAGCTAAAAATTGAGCACAAATATAAAAAGACAGTCAATAAGCATGTCCAAAAATTATAAATTAATACTTACAGAACAATAACAGAAAACTGAGCAAAAAGGTCTCTAGTTTTTTTTTTGGAATACTTTTTGTGATCAACCAAAACTTACCCCCCCCCCCCCCAGCAATGCAAGTGAGGATGACTGTGATTCTGTGTTTAAGTCTAACAGAACCATGACCTTACAACTTTAAGAAATGATTCAATAAAAAGAAACTCGTAGTTAAATGCATTAATTGGGAAGGGATGTAAACCAACGACCGAATTCAATCCTACAAGGCACTTTCATATGGAACAATGGAACCCTGGATCATAGAGAAAAAAAAATACAACAATCTAAAGCTGCATCAGACCATGATAAGTTCAAATCTCCAATAGAAGCTAAAATTTAATGGACATCACCACATCACGTTATGGTGACAGTTCAACCACGGTGTATCACTGACCTGATTCATCTCCTGCACAAGTTGATCCAAAATTCTCAAGCCAATTGCATAATGACCTGAGGAAGCCTGTTCAATAAGCAACATATACAGTAAGCTTTCGTAACTCTTAACCAAAAAATCATCTGCGAGCTTCTTCACAAGATATGACTACCCTGTAAATGGGTTTTCACCATTAATGTGTCCAGAAAGCATTGAAAAATTACAGAAGCACAGAAAAGACATTATGTTTAACCAGGATGATACACCACCTGGTTCAAAAAGTTTGTTGATTCGTTAACTACATCCCTGAATTTATCATCATCAAACCATCCAAACTTTGTTAGCCGACATAGTAGTTGAATGAGAGAAGCAATCACAAACGATTGCAACTCCGGTCCTCTCGTGGCCAGATAATTCACAATATAAGCCCCTAAACACGACCAAAAGAGAACCAGAAACAAGTGAGAAATCAATGGGAAAGAGAAAGATACTTCTGAGCAGCTTTATCTGGAATACTATGTAAAGAGCTATACTGATATCAAGACGAAGCTGTAGAGCAAGGGTATGATCTGTCACTTGCTTCAACAAACTTGAGCTAGCAAGCATTAAGGAATAAGGTTTTGATGAATTGTCAAGAATGTATTGACATTGGGATATATAATCCGTATTCATGGAAAAACATCTTAGACTGTTTTCAGCTTGAGCCCTCTCCACAGAATCCTGAGAATTGTACAATCTCTCGCACAAGGCCTCCAATTGCGCCAAGCTCTCCATCAGTAACGAAGCAGAATCTGAGGGAAAAAGTAGAAAAACCATAGATACCAAAAACACTACAAAGACTATCGAGACATTTCAAAAGAACACAAATTTCCTAGACAGTATCGTGATCCATAGACCGTTCAACAGTGTCAACGAAGTAACAATGATGTATTACAGCAACATTTCCCCCAAGAATCTCCATACTTTTCAATCAAATGCTCTAGAACTGGATTCAAAAACCCAACATCGCATCCATTCCAATCGGTTTCCAGGAGAAAAATCGAAAACAGAGGAAATCAACACCAAACACTCCAAACACCAAGTACGATGTAGGAATTCAATCATTGATCGTAACGCCATTAACAAGGACAAAAGTGCGGTTATCAATCGACGAGGAACAACACGGACCAAGCTACCGACAAAGATCAGTTCGATCTACAACACAAGAGAGAGAGGAAGTACACAAACAAGAAACGGCCGATCGCCGTGAAACGTCGCCTTATCCGATCAACGGTCGTAGTTTTCCGGTAGAATCGATTCCTTCTGCAGATTCGATTACGGAGAGAAATGAAACGAAAAGAAGAACACGAATGAACAAAGAGACGAAGCCCAAGATTTTCTCTCGCGGATGTTGAATTGCGTTGGGGCCGAAGCTTCGTCGCGACGCAGACGTTGTGGAGTTTGAAGGGCACGCACGCAACCCTCGGGTTCTAATTCTATACCGGTGGATGGTGTCACCAGTGGAAAGCTGCCGATAGACAATCGTCTGTAGCCGTTTGTAGAATTCTATCTATGCATACGACACGTGGCAGACTTTCATTTGTTTCCATTTATGTTTTTCTCAGGTTTTTTTTACAAGGAATTTCCATTTCTTCTTGTAATTAAGTTAAAGAAAAATGGGACACAAACAGTTCATTAACTGTTTTGCATGGATTTATTCAAAGTAAACGTATATTAAAAATATTAAATGTGCAATCGCTCTATTTCTTTTTTTTTACCAAAATTATCATCACGTTTACATTTAATTGTTCATTTTCCATATCTATTATCATCGTAAAAACTATTTTTTTACTATATAAAACTATTCGTTTATATACCTATTAATTCTAAGCATTTTTACCTATATATGTATAAATATATAGATAAAAATAATTAGAAAACATTCTTATTTTTTTTCTTCGTTTTCCCTCCATACTTATTACCTACATATATATAACTTTGTGTCACGAAAAAATCTTAATTAAAAAAATAACATATAAATGATAACGATGGGCGTGAATAAAAATAGTGAGTTACTCATTTATACGCAAATAACAATATTCAGGTTTCTTAATTTGTGAATAGTAAGATTTACAAAATGTGAATATTAAATTAAAAAAAATGAATTATAACATGAAATAAAGGGGTAATCACATAAAAATACCCGAATTTTTATAAAAATCTCAAATAAATACCCGAACTATAAAATTGTAATATAAATACTTGAACTTTTCAAAACTCTCACATAAATACCCAAACTTTTAAATTTTTTCCAAATCAAACAAACGCAACTGCTGACTTAGCAAAAAAACTGCTGACTCAGCAAAAAAAATTGTTGACTCAGCAAAAAACTGCTGACTTAGCATTCAAAAATATTATTAAATATCCAAATATTTATCTACATATATTCAAATTAATATATGCATATAAATTCACATATATATATAAATATATATATATATATATATATATATATATATATCAACATAAAATGTCATTTGAGATATGATCCAAGACCTGACACTTCTCAGTATATTGTAGTTATGTGTATATGTGTTTTATTAATTATAAATAATTTTATTTTTAATATATATATATATATATATATTTATATATACGTGTGAATTTATATGTATATATTAATTTAAATACATGTAGATGAATATTTGGATATTTAATAATATTTTTGAATGTTGAGTCAGCAGTTTTTTGTTGAGTTAACAGTTTTTTTTACTGAGTCAACAGTGTTTTGTTGAGTTGCGTTTGTTTGATTTGGAAAAAATTTAAAAGTTTGGATATTTATGTGAGAGTTTTGAAAAGGTCAGGTATTTATATGACAATTTTATAGTTCAGATTTTTATCTGGGATTTTTGTAAAAGTTCGGATATTTTTATGCGATTACCCCCGAAATAAACAACAATGATAAATTGGACTTTCTGCATATTTTCCTATTTAAAGTATATTATTTTACCAATTTTTAAAGAAAAAAATAGATTGGACTTTGTGGGGGCTGAGAGATATGTATGGGCCTGAGCCCATTTAACTGATTTAATTGGCCCATAATAAATGTCTAAAACAGAACATTAGTGATACAGGGAACAGAAGCTATACGCGTGTAACCAAACAGGTTGTATATATTAATCGACATAGACTTCTGCTCAAACACCCTCTTTCCCCTCACAAGTCTGTAGCCTAGCCGCCTTGTCCTGCCCCAGACGAAACCGTATCTCTCTCTCTCTCTCTCTCTCTCTCTCTCTCTCTCTCTCTCTCTCTCTCTCTCTCTCAGATTGGCGGAAATTGAGGAGGCAGGAGCTGGCCGGAGCAACTCCCGTCCAACGAATCCGAACGGTTGCGAGCTCAATCACTGTTAAGAAAGGTTGTTCTTCGATCGTTGTTGTTTTCGTCTTTGCTGATTGATTGTTGTTTGAACTCGATGATTTTCGAGATCGTTGTGAGAACGGAATCTAGGGTTTTCTGTGTGATACTGAGGAGGTCCGTAGTCGATGGTTAATGTGTAGGAGAAGTTAACTTCAGGAGTGGTCTCTAGGGTTCGTTGATTGTCATCGACGTTTAATTTTACCCACCAACCTTACTGATTTTGAGTGGGTTTTGAGGTTTCAGGAATCAAATTTGTGTCTTATTTCCTTTGATTTCTGAGTTATTTCTGCGGTTCGAAGGAAAACAATGGCTGAGACGAAAGCAATATCTTGTTTCTCTAAGTTTACTTGCTTGTCTCTGTGGTTCACGTAGAGCATGATGTGATGTGCGACTTGGACCTTTTAAATCCTTTCTTGGACCCTCTGAAACCACAAAGTTTTGAGCTTTGATGTAACGGTTGGTCAGTGTTTCTCTTATGGAGTCAGTAGGCTTTGCTGATATATATGCTCTTTTGGTTTTCTGTGAGTGTTATCATTTATAATCGAGGACCTAATCACGAATTTTTCCCACCTGTGTGTACTCATTGTGCTGTGATCTTTGACGCTTGAAACAGGAATCGATCTGGGTGTTGGAGTATACGGTGATTTGTAGCTTCAAAACGTTTGTTCCATCATGCAGAGTTTGAAACTCAACTCTGCTGTTAAGCTTATTACATACTCTGAGGAGCTTGCGGGTGGAGAGCCGCTCTATGCTTCTTCGAATTGTCTTCCTGTGAAGGCCTTAAAACTTGAACCTGCTGGTCATGCCTTCCATTCCGCTGTTCTCAAACTGCTTGGTTGTTCAGAGGAAGCCGCAGAAAATGAGGACAGTGGTAAGAAGGTCACCACAAATGATAAAGACAGTGCGTATATTCCATCATATGATTCATATACCACTAAGGGGAAGAAGAAGTCTGGCAAACAACAAGAAGATCACTATGCATTGTTGGGTTTGAGCCATTTACGATATCTTGCAACAGAGGATCAAATCAGAAAAAGCTACCGTGAAGCTGCGCTGAGGCATCACCCGGACAAACTCGCTGCTCTTCTTCTTGCTGAGGAGACAGAAGAGGCGAAACAAGCTAAGAAGGATGAGATTGAATCTCGCTTCAAGCTAATTCAAGAAGCATATGAAGTTTTGATGGACCCTATAAGGAGAAGGATTTATGACTCTACTGATGAGTTTGATGACGAAATCCCTACCGACTGTGCCCCGCAAGACTTCTTCAAGGTGTTTGGTCCAGCTTTTAAAAGGAATGCAAGATGGTCAGTTACTCAGCCTATCCCTGAGTTGGGCGATGATAGTACATCTATGACAGGCGTTGATAACTTCTATAACTTTTGGTATGGCTTTAAGAGCTGGAGGGAATTTCCTCATGCAGATGAGTACGATATTGAACAGGCAGAATCCCGTGATGATCGTAGGTGGATGGAGAGGCAGAATGCAAAACTCTCTGAGAAAGCTAGGAAAGAGGAGTATGCCCGGATTCGTACTCTTGTTGACAATGCATATAAAAGAGACCCGAGAATAGTGAGAAGAAAGGAGGAACAGAAAGCTGAGAAGCAGAGAAAGAAGGAAGCAAAGCTCCTGGCCAAGAAGCTGCAAGAGGAAGAAGCTGCCAGGGCTGCTGAAGAGGAGAAACGCCAAAAAGAGGAACAAGAAAAGCTTGCAGCAGAAACTGCTCAACAGCAGAAGAGAGCGAAGGAGAAAGAGAAGAAACTCTTACGTAAGGAACGTATCCGACTTAGAACACTCTCAGCCCCCGTTGTTGCCCAACATTTACTTGACATCTCTGAGGAAGATGTGGAGAATCTTTGCATGACATATAACACCGAGCAGCTGAGGGATCTGTGCAATGACATGGATAAGAAGGAAGGAATGGATTTGGCAAAGGTACTGAGAGATGCTTGCAGCAGTAAAAACAACGTCGAAACAGACTCCTCCAAGAAGCACGATAACGAGAAAACCTCGCAGCAGAACGGTTTTGCAGAGGCTAATGGAAGCAGCTTTCAGAAGAAAGAGAAACCATGGAGCAAGGAAGAGATTGATCTGTTGAGAAAAGGGATGGTGAAATATCCGAAAGGGACGTCTCGGAGGTGGGAGGTCATATCAGAATACATCAGTACTGGAAGATCCGTGGAGGAGATCCTGAAGGCAACTAAAACTGTGCTTCTCCAGAAACCCGATTCCTCTAAAGCATTTGATTCGTTCCTGGAGAAGAGGAAACCAGCCGCAACAATTGCATCTCCTCTTTCCACCCGAGAGGAGCTCGGAGAATCAGGACCGACCTTAACCAGCGAAAACAAAAGCCGGGAAGAGTCATCAAGTAATCTGAGCTCAGACAGCAACAACACTGAAACAGCTACTGCTGCTTCGGGTTCAGACCAAGATGGTTGGTCGGCAGTGCAAGAACGAGCACTGGTTCAGGCTCTGAAGACGTTCCCAAAGGAGACGAGCCAAAGGTGGGAGAGAGTTGCTGCCTCTGTTCCCGGGAAGACAGTGAGCCAGTGCAAGAAGAAGTTTGCTGAGCTGAAAGAGATCATAAGAAACAAGAAATCCGCAACCTGAACTTTTACACTGGCTCGGGGCTCGGGTAAGCAGCCGTGGTTCGGTATTCAGATCCTGCTGCTCGTAATATTTTTGTTGACAGAGAAGAAGATAAGAGGGCATCCATCACTACAGGCGTTGGCACTTTTATGAGCCAGAGGCGGTTCTACTACTACTACAGTTTGGTGACTGTTTTATCAAGGGTCGTGAAACACACAGTCACATCACAACACTATTCTTGTCGGTAATTTTTATCTTCTTTTCGGAATTTATATCTGCAACTGAGCTAAACTCCTGTTCGTTTATTGCCGGTTACATTACATCTAAGCTGGAACTGAGCTAAATTCATTGGTCCAAATATAGATCGAGGCAAATGTCGTTTAATGAATTTTGCAGATTCATCCATTCTCTCAAGTAGTTCAACTCAAAATAAACCGAACCATAACCAAAGCGAAAACCCAAACCGGTTAACAACGAGAAACCCAAAGCAAATCCAAAATTAATCAGTCCAGTTCATCGAACCGAACCCAAAATAAACTAAACCGATTATCATTACATCGTATGGAGCTTATATATGAGTGCGAATTAGATTATTCTTCAGAATGAAATGGGTAATGGTTATTGCATTACAGCGAACAAAAAAGTTGGTTCGAAATGAAAGCCCGATAAGAAACTCCTTTAGACTTGACACACATTGAACTCTGCGAATCGAACCACTTACAAATGACGAACTTGACGGCCGAAGTATCCAACCGAGCAGACTTTTGTCAGGGCAATTCCGTCATTTGACACACCGGAGGCATGTTGCTCCACACGCACGAACCCACAGCTCGAGCTTGACCCGATGACGATGAAGAAGACGGAGTCCCTACAGCCATATGCATATGTTCGTTTCCGAACTCGTCCCCGAAAAGTGCCACCAGGGCATCTGACATAGTCGTTGTCTCTTTGACGAGTCCGAGACCGTGGTCCAGCCAGCTTGAAGCAAGTAAAACGTCAGGCCGTGATATATCTAGGACCGGGTTTTTTTCATTCTCTCTTTTGGGTGTCCAAATCTGATCCCATTGCTCAATCTTTACGTTGTTGTGCCCTGCCAAGTTATAGTTTCAGGTAGAGTTCTTGATCAGATACCACAAAAAACCTTTCCTCATATTTAAAAAGATTAATGAATCTCGGAAGAGAAACTAAGAATTAAGAAACGAAAATCGCTTGAATGTTAGAAGTAAAAGAAGCACGTACCGGAAAAGTTATGGGTAGGCAACGATGATTCACCCGACGAACTTCCACCTTCACCAAGTTGCACGGAAAATGGAATCCCAGAATGAGTCGAGGGCTTGATGGAAACCTCAGATTCCTTATGTTTGGTTTCCGGTTTAACATGGGTTATACCCTCAGCCATTTCGGGAGTAGTAGTGGAACAGAAACTCTTTTCAGACAAAAGAGAACCAGTCTTCGTACCAGTTCGGATCTTGGCCTCGTGAAGTAACATATCTAGAAGGCCAGTGTCACAGGAAGAATAACAATCAGCCTCTAATTTCCGCATCGTTGGTGGAAACTGGAAGAAAGCGTCAACAGATTCGAGAAGATCTGAATGCGGAGACAATGATGCCTTCAGCTGATCAAAATTAGTTTCTGGATATTGGAATGAAGGGAGCTCCAACTTCACTGTCCCAAACGAGGGCTTAGAAGAAGGAAAAATGGCATCCATAAGGGTATGGCTACCAGGAATCACATCGGAATAGTGTTGGACTCTGTTGGGAGGATCAGTATCACGAGGAAACGAGAAACTGAAAGACTTGGAAATCTTTCGTGGAGCAGTGCTCTGAATTTCTTCAAGCGAAGGGAATTCATCCTTTATGTTACTGCAGTACACAGGAAGTATAGCTCCTTGTTCTCGAAATCGCTTTGTTGGTTGCATTATCGGTGGCCTGAAGCCTTTATAGCAAGAAGAACTCGCACCATTATTTCCCAACATATTGCATGAGGCGACATCGGACAAGTCAGAAGCACTAGGCACCATCCCAGAGACAACCTTAAGACTGTCAAATAAGACATTAGGCTCACAACTCCCCACCTGCAAGAAATCTTGATATCTTTGATCACTCTCTGTGAACTCTTGATTCCATTGCAAAGCCTCAACATGCATTTCAGGAGGATAAAGCGGCAATCCAGCTCGTTGTCGCCTCTTAATGCGAGTGTTCCAGTAATTCTTTATCTCATTATCTGTTCGACCAGGCAACTGAAAAATAGATAGCAGAAATCACTCTAATGGGTAATACAAAAGTGGTCATAATGTAAGATCATCAAAATGCTACAATGAACGAACTCCCTTAAGTTAAATAGCTTCCAATATGTATTCTGGCTTTGGCAAAACCTTTTAATATGAATAGTAAGAATTGCCAATATATACTTACATGTGCAGCCATGCGTGCCCATTTATTTCCCATCTTGGCATGCAGTTCGACAATGAGCTGTTCTTCTTCTTGGCTGAATGCTCCTTTCTTCAAGTTTGGTCTCAGATGGTTAGCCCACCTCAGGCGGCAGCTTTTGCCACAACGGGATAGGCCTGTGTATTTCTGCACAGCATTCCAGTTACCCTCACCGTGCTTCTTGACATAGTCAATTAGAACAGCATCTTCTGCTGTGGTCCATGGCCCTTTCTTCAGAACAGTTCCAGCCCATCTACTCCTGCAGCCACTGCCATTTTCAGCAGCCGGCGACTCATCACGCTTGTTGTACATACCATTGTCACTTTCATCCATCGTGTGACTCATCTCTTTTTAGTTAAAGCAAAACAACAACCATTTAGACAAAAAGCTTCCACCTGAACTGGGAACAAAAAAGATAACAGAACCAAGAACGTTAAGGGTAGAGACGGCAAACTCTTTCACAGCCAAAGGTGTTAACGCAATAAACAGCGCCATATATTTAACGAACACACACAGAGATAGAATAAGGAACTTGGAGAACCTAGCAAACAGAAACACTGCTCTGTAGAGTACACGAGTTCATATCTAGCGAAGACATATACGTTAATAACATAACAAGACAACAACCAAGGAATTATGTTGACAGAATGACCCAACACATCAAGAACCTCTTTGAAGATCCAGTTAATACACATTTCCATCTAGAAGAGAGCCCCGATTTATAGAAATCAAAATGCAGCAAAGCAAGAGAATCACCCGGAGTAGTTCTCAAGTATCAGAACCATCTCACAATCAAGAAGAAGTCATCCGGTCGCTTGACATCTAGAACCTCATGGTCAGATTTCCTAGTATAGCTGATAGCTTTTGGATTTCAAAGTTGACCGAGCATCAAAATCATCTTTAAGTACTTTTCGTACATGAGAAATCCATCTCACAATCAATAAATCAGTAAGTCATTCAGAATATCCCGATTCCTAAAATAGCCTTTTGGATTTCACGACTGATCATGGGGCGAAATGGCTTAGGCCAATCCAATAAGTTCCGACCAAAGAATCTCTAACACCGCAAATCAATTAGGCGCCGACATAGTTAAGATTATCTGGTAAATATCCTAATCGGATAGTTTCGAGACTTCAAATTCCCGACTCCAACACAAATCTGATGTTCAAAACTAACCAGTATCACCGATGAAATAGTAAACATCTGCAGTCACACGGAATCGAAAGAGCTGAACAGCCACGGAAAAGGTATCTGAAAAAACCCTAGTAGAGGTGAAAGCAAAGGCAAAGCTGCCAAAAGCTGGCAGTCGATAGCTGAAATTTTTATACAAAAACAAACTTGAGAGCATAAGTCGACCCCAAAAGAGATCTACGACATCGTTGCTACAAAATCAGGGAAACTCGGAGTCCAAATTCAACTGACGAGATGGAAACCAACGAAGAAAAAACCCAGAATAAGAAACGGAGTAAGGCAGACCGTAAATTTCAAAGCAAAAAAAAAACTGAAATCAGCACAGGAAATGAGAGATCCGTGCAAATGGAATCGAAACCTGGCAACGCAAGAACAATCTACAACAACATTGAGCAGAGAAGCTCCGCTGATCTTCTCTTAGAGAATATGCATGCAAGAGAAAGAGACGAAATCGGAGAAGGGGAGAGAGAGAGAGAGGAAAGTACCAAAGCTTGATCCGAGATTGAGTCGCCGAACAGATAGTGGAAGAATGAGGGAAATTTAAGAAACTCTTTTCCCATCTATTTTTATATTCTCTTTTAATTTCGCACACTTTTTTTATATATCACTTTATTTTTGTAAATTCTAAATTTTTTTTTATTTATTGTTTTATACAGCAATAATGTTGTGTACACTACATATTTAAATATATTCCGACTTCTATTAATGAAATTCCATATCTAATTATAATTCCATATATATCCATTTGATATTATCTCCAATAAAATACTCATTCGTGGAATGTTTATTTAATTAGATTATTTATTTTTACAAAAGTTGCTCTGGTAACCAAAACTTTCATTTACTTTGTATACTTTTACTGTTTTTATCTACTTGAAGATAACGACGGATATTTTGGAATTTCGAATATACTTCATTATTTTTAGGCTTTGTTTTTAATTAGATTTCGTTTTCCATTTTTTTGTGAAATAACATATTTTTATTTTTATATCAGTTTTTGTTTTTCAATATAAATTAAATCTAAATCTCGTATTTAAACCAGCTAATTTGATTCAAAAATATTCTTATCAATAGTTTTTTGATTCAATTATAGGTGGCCGATTATATGTCGATGATACGGTAGGGTGCATGTTATTCAAATGTTTCAATCTATTTTTATATCAGTATTTAAAAAAAAATCATTGTCGTGTAAATACATAAAATAATATAATAACATAAAATGTTATGTAAAATTTTTAATGAATGATATTCTTTTTAGGACAGTAAAATAGTATTTATTTTCAAATGCTTGAAATAGCTTTCGGTGGTGTTTGTAATCCACATTGAATGCTGAAAGGAATCAATAAATAAAATTTATTAACATTTATTGATCAAATTGTTAGCATTTAAGCTTCATTTATTAATTTATTACCGTGTAAATATAAATGGAATAATCTTAGTCTCCATTCATTGTCACTTTGACAAAAGGAAAATGATAAACGATGACGAATTAATTTATATTATTTGTCATTTTTATTCAAAGGAAAAATATCTAATGCATTTTAATTAATTGGTTAGTATTCTTTTAAATCAAATTAATTATACGCTAACTCATTATAGAAGTGTTTATTTTTTTTAAATCATAAATAATTTGTAATGAAAATTGATTCAACCTACATCGAAAAGGAATCAAAATTCCAAAAAACAAATCTACTAAAATATGTTTTTTTTTTTACATAATTTAGAAGTCCAAATATAGAATTATCAAAATCAAAATCAAAATGAAAATATATCCAATCCTAGTGAATGCGGAAGGGAACTACGGGACCGTGACTTGGACCTTTTGCTCTATTTACGCATTTTCCTTATTATAAACATATTATGGAATCTATGGTGATGGATATAATTTTTACGTTTCTTTCAATAATAGAAAATAGAAAGAGGAAAAAAAAGAAGAGGATTTCATTTTGATGGGTCAGAGACCAACCACTTCTATGCGAATTTCTCATAACAAATGGCATCTGACTAATTTTAGACTCATGCTTGAAAATAAAACATAAAATAAATAAAAGATTTTATTACATGAATGAATATGTGTGAAACCAAAAGATTCTATTTTCTTTTTTAAAAAAAATAATATTTAATTAATTTTCGTGGAGTGAAAAAGAAAAAGAAAGAGCAGATAGAGAACACTGACAATTTTCGTGGCTTTTCATGATAGCCTCCACACCAGCGTGACGTCGACGCGCTCAGATAAGGATGATCCATGCACTTGCCAAACCTTAGATTATATTATATTATACGCATACGAATTTTTATTTTAAATTTCGTTAATTTTTAAACTTCAAATAATTTTAGAAAATAGATATGAAATATTGAAACTTATAATAAATTTTCAAAATAAATATAAATTTTCAGATGATTTTGATATAAAAAAAATTAATAAAATATTATTAAATACCGAGAATTTGTAAGTAGAATGTTCATTAGAATTTTAGAAATCGGTACATCGAAAATATAACGAAATTGTCTCGTCCGTCAAATGTTAATTTAAAAAATAAAACATACATATAGTACATATACGGACATACAAATGCATATACATACATATATATATATATAACGCGTATAGATTACAAACTCTTTTGACATGAATATATTATTCGGATGCTTACATGAAAATTATATATATATATATATATATATAAAGACAAGTATGATAATTTATTATGTGGAAATTAATAAATTAATTGTCGAGAATAAATGTTCCGAAAATATACAAAAAGGTAGAGGTGGGAGAGAAATGTTTTTTGTGCAGCCTTTGGGCATGGTGGTGATAGTTGTTATTTGTCTTTTAAGTGCTGGTGGGACGAATCTGCTTCCGCAAAAACTTGGCCAGATACAGGACAAGAGATGATGATGATGATGATGAAGATGATGATGATACAACAACATTGCGCTTAAATAACACACGTAACGATCAGCTAAAAAGATTATAATGTATGTGCATATATGCAAATTTTATATACGTACACATTTATGTGTGGCATGTACATCTTTTTTAACCAAACCCATGACATGATGAAGCCGTATAATTAGATCGATCTAATTTTTGTTTAATTCGGTATTAAAAAAACAATGATTAAGATATTTTTGTTATTGGTTTAAACATTAAGGTTTTAAATCAAGACGTAGCATCGCATCGAACCGAAACCATTAACCGGGAAACCAGAAGAGACCGGGCCGTCCGGTTAATTTTGTCAGAACCGGTCCATTTTCGGCCCAATAAAGCGAATCGCTAAACCGGTCCATCCGGTCAGGGAATGAAAAGGAAAAGAAACCCTCGGCGGCTCGGGTTTAAGAAGAAAAACAGAATCAGATCGGTTCATCGCCGTCTGGCTGACTCGGGTTCGCTTGTCTCCCGTACAATTTTGCTCGACAAAAACCAAGTTCGTTCTTTTCCCTCGCTTTTCTCTACCCTTTTACTTCAACTTTCGGATTATCTTGTTAATTTTGTGTAATTTTATCTGTGACGATGATAACACCACTTTGAATTTCTAGGGTTTTTTTTTTGTTCTTCGTTCTGCCTATTTGCTGTGTTTGATGTTCCGCTTGTGTATGTTTGTCTTTCTGGAGTTGTAGTAATGGCGACAGCTGAGTTCGAATATGTTCCTGTCACGTCGCAAAAACAAGACCCGGCATGGAAACATTGTGAGATGTTCAGTAACGGGGACAAGGTTCAGTTGAAGTGTGTTTATTGCGGGAAGTGTTTCAGAGGTGGTGGGATTCATAGGATTAAGGAACATTTAGCAGGACATAAGGGCAATGCAGCTACCTGCCTGTCTGTTCCTCCTGACGTCCGTGCTATGATGCAAGAGAGCTTAGATGGGCTTTTGCTTAGGAAGAGGAAGAAACCGAATCACGGAGATAACGTTGCTAATGACAGCAATGGTGATCATAGTTATAGCAACTCTGTTCTTGCTGGCGGTAATATGGAAAATTCTGGTAACCAATCTGATGGTTTTGTCAATGATGGGTTGCACTTGACTGTTATGTCAGGCGATGACAGGCATCCAGGTTTGAGTGTGATGACAGAGAAAAGGAGGAGAGGGAGACCGAAATCGACTTCTGTGAATGCCAGAGGTGGTGCTAGTCAAGCTTTTGTGATTACCAACAATCCGGGCGTGGAGAGGGTGAATGATCAACTTTATACAGCAATCAGTAGATTTTTATATGATATTGGGGCGCCTTTAGATGCTGTGAACTCGGTCTATTTCAAGCCCATGGTCGAGGCAATTGCTTCGAGTGGACCAGTTGTTGTGACCCCTTCGTATCATGATCTTCGAGGATGGGTATTAAAAACTATGGTTGAAGAAGTGAAGAACGATGTTCAAAAGGTGACGGTGGAATGGGGAAGGACCGGTTGTTCAGTCTTAGTTGACGAGTCGAATACAGAAAATGGACGGGTTTTTCTAAGTTTCATGGTGTCTAGCCCCGAGGGAACGACTTTTCTGAAATTTGTTGATGCGACTAGTGCCATAAATTCACCGGATAATTTACATGAGTTGCTAAAGCAAGCAGTGGAAGAAGTCGGCGTCTCCCACGTTGTGCAAGTAATCATAAATGGTAGAGAGGATCATTACATTGATGCAAGGAAAAGGTTAATGGAAACTTTTCCAACCCTCTACTGCCTAAGTTGTTCCGCTTGTTGCCTAGATTCAATCCTTGAAGATTTCGGTAAACTGGTGTGGATAAATGATATCATCGCAAAAGCTAAGTCCATAACAAGATTTGTGTATAATCATAGCGTGGTGTTGAACATGATGAGAAGGTATACCTTTGGTAATGATGTCATAGGGGTTGGAGTAACTCGTAAAGGCACAGACTTTACAACTTTGATGCGAATGGTCGATCTTAAACATGGTTTACAGGCTATGGTTACTTCCCAGGAATGGCTGGATTCCCCATATTCAAGACAACCCGAGGGAGAAGCAATGCTAGATGTAATTACTGACAAATCCTTTTGGTCATCTTGTGAGTTAATTATCAAGCTAACATCACCTCTTTTGCGGGTTTCGAGAATACTTAGCCGCAAGAAGAGACCAGCAACGGGATACATCCTTGCAGGAATGTATCTTGCAAAAGAGGCCATAAAAAGAGAACTCGTCAATAGAAACGAGTATATGGTCTTCTGGAATATAATAGACAGTCGGTGGAAACAACAGTGGGATTATCCTCTTCATGCAGCTGGATTCTTCCTCAACCCCAAGTTCTTTTACAGTTGCCAAGGAGAAATCCTGAGCAAGATGCAGTCCAGAGTGTTTGATTGTGTAGAGAGATTGGTCTCTGATACAAGTGTCCAGGACAAAATTGCCAAAGAGTTGATTTCTTACAAGAATGCTGCCGGAGATTTTGGGAGAAACATGGCCGTCAGGGCCAGAGATACCATAAACCCAGGTGAGATTCTTCGTTTTGTCTTGGAATTTGTCCCACATCTTTCTTCTGAGTCATGGAATCTTTCGGGCTTATTTCGCATCCGTGTTCGTTCTAGCTGAATGGTGGTCAACATACGGAGGGAGTTGTCCGAATTTGGCGCATTTGGCCATCCGGATTCTCAGCCAAACCTGCAGTTCTTCTGGGGCCATTCGAGATTGTCCGATTCCGTTTGAGAGAGTTTACGATGTGAAGAACTACCTTGAGCAGCAGAGGCTTCGAGACCTTTTATTTGTTCAATACAACTTGCGACTAAGACAGAGGTTAGCTTACCAAAAACTAACTCCCGTTAAATTAAATATAGGCATTCCATATCTGTAGGAGTGAGAGTATTCAGCAAAATGGATTCGCTAGCTATAACTTTCGTTGTTCACAGGGAATATGAGGAGAAGGAAGAGGATATCATGGATCATTTCTCGACTCACGGGGTTAAGAAAGGAGTCGAAGAGTGGATCTCGGGAAGAGATGGGGAATACGAAGGCTCGCATTGGGTGCTGCTTGATCAGGTTTCTGGAAATCCACTGCCTCCGGGATCTCTAAATGATGAAGTGGAAGAGTTAAATGGTGGTAAGTTTTGTTTCCTTCTTCTTCTCCCGTGTCTCTCGGTGGTTTCAGTTCCGTTTCTTGATTGACACCAAAGATGTGATTTTGGCAGGATTCGATGACTATGAGATCTTCGATTCCATGATAGAGAGAGATGTCACGGTCGAGGGAACGCAGCAGAAGGAAATCTAACAGTTCAAGACAGAGATTATGAAACAGAAGGCATCTTTCTGGCCTGCAATGTACAAGACTCTTCTTAGTGTACACAGCAGCAGTTGGCTGATTAGCTGTTCATACACAGACACCGCTACTTACCTCTCGTTTGATGTGGGGTCGGGCGAATGAAACCTTGGTTATTTTTATACGATGATAAATATACACAGCTTCATCCCCAGACTTGTATAATTAATAATCTTACGCGCCCTCCCAGTCGTTTTTATTTTTATTTTTATTTTTATTTGGGTGGAGTGATATTTCGCTCCTAATTATAAAAATAAAACCAATTACCGTGTTAAAAAAAAAAAGTGATGGTTCTATTGGAGTCAGCCCATTGAGTCATATTGGACTCGACCGGCACCGGCCCGTCATCCTTCCACCGTCAAGAGCGGGAGGTGATCGCTGCTCTGTGAAACCAGCCTCACGCATTGCCCTCCACTCTAAAGGACACGTCACCCAGAACTTTCGAGCAAGCCACGTGTCCCAACTCCTGACTTGGAACGGGCGGGCCAGAAATCTGCAGATCAAGCCCGGCCCAAGAGACTGATCCAACGTCCCATCACCTTGTTGCCCCCACTTGGGTCACAAGCCCGCGTTACCAGGCCCGGCGAACAGATGTGCATTATTAATATTTATATAATATCTAATGCTTATGCCATTTGTCGATGTGGGATTCTAAGAAAAATGACGTCTTCGTCTCTTTTACTGCTTTCATGCTCTCTCAAAAGAAAAAAAGGCAAGAACCTCAGATTATTATTTGCCCTGCAAAGCTGAAAGGTTATTTTTCACCTTATTTCATTTTATTTATGTATGTTTTGCTTTTAAAAATAGTTATGATATTATATCAAGTCGAGAAATGATGGGATTGCAATAACTAATTGTTTTTTTAACCATAATCCACCATCTCAAATGTTTTAGATATACATAACACCAATTAATAGATCTAATTTTTCACTTATACCAAACGATTCATTATCGATATATAAAATATATCGATTTATGTTATAAAATGGAAAACTGTATAAAAATTATTTTATTTCGAGGACTTAATTATGTTTTTTGGTTATACCAATTTTTTTTCCCGAGGATTTTGAGATTTTTGATCTTATAACAAGAGAATGTCACGGTTGAGGGCAATTCTCAAATTGCAACAGGGTGCGCGTTTCAGGCATCGATTTGGTATTCAAGTGATTCGATTCGAGAACGATAATTTCGGTTTTATAAAAATGTATCAAATTAGAACCGAATGTTAGTATCGATTTGGTTCGAAACAGTACCATTATATGAATGTCAAATAAATATCAAACTCTAATATTTACACATGTATTAGTGGAAAATTAGAATTTTGGTTCGGTATTCATACGGCTCGGAAACGGTTCATTCGGTTCCATAAAAAGTATATCAAATTAGAACTGGACGTTATTTGGTTTGATTCGATCCGATTCGGTTGAGAACTAAATTTTTGAACCGAAGTGCCCACCCCTCATTGCAATATAATATATTACGGAGGTATCAAGATTAACTTCATTACCTCTGTTCTACCCAATGGCTCTCGTTTTTAACCCTAATAATAACACCAAAGAGATCAATGTGCCGAGTGTATAAGAGAGGATTTAACAGCAATGTTGTCTCCGGATGACGTCATCAGCGTCGTCTGTCCATTCGGACACTTGTTGATATCTTTGTGTTCGTGGTGATATTCTGTTTTTTTTCGTCTTTCGGCTTCGAAGCACAAAAAAGAAAGGAAAAAGTGATGGTCCAACTGGAGACAGCCCAATGGGCCATAGCGGATCCGGTGGGCGCAAGCCCGTTATCCTTCCACCGTCAGGAGCGGGAGGTGATCGCTGCTCTGTGAAACCAGCCTCACGCGCTGCCCTCCTCTCTAGGAGACACGTCACCCAGAGCTTTCGCTCAGGCCACGTGCCCCAACTCCCGGCTTGGAACGGGCAGGCTTGAATCAAAGCCCAGAACTAGTCCAACACAATAGACCGAACCAACGTTCCATCACCTTATTGCCCCCACTCGGATCACAAGCCCACGTTACAAGGCTCGGCGATCGATGTTTATTGTAAAGGTTATATATACAGCTAAAAAATAGTATTTTCGGCGATGTGGGATAAAAGGACTCTCGTATAGTGTTGTGTAACGATAAAAGGCGAGAACCCTCATTGTTATTGGCTATAATAAAAGCTTAAAGGCTGCTTCTGACATTTTTTTCACCACATTTCTTTTTTACTTTACACATCTATATTTTGTTTATAAAAGATATATATAGTTTACAGCAATGAATGGAGAAATGATAAAATTGCGATAACTAATTGAACTTTTACAATGACGACCATCTCAAGACACATGAAACCAACTAATTGATCTAATCTCGGAATATATATATATATATAAAGATTTCTATAGAGATAATAAAGTGTGCCAATTTAGGATCTGAAATTGAAAAAAAAATGAATATATATAGATATAAATGAAGGAGAATGGAATGTAGAAGGCAGCTAGATAAAGAAGTTAAAAAAAAAAAGGATGAGATTCAAAACAACAATTAGAGAACAAATTAATGGTATGAAAAGGCTTCACTAAACATAATTACCCCACCACTATTGCAATGCCCACCTCGCGTTAAAAACCCTTTAATACACATCATATTATGCCCTAATTATGTAACCTTTCGTGTTGTTAATCAGAATTATATACATAATGATTTTGCTTAGTTTGAAGTCCTTCCGTGAATAACTCTGAAACAACACGTGGAGGATAACGATTGGAATATGAACAATACAAAAAAAAAACCTTAATTATCTAAAAACATTTAATAAAAAATCTTCAATTATCCGACAAACAATTCATCTCTTATAAATATACCCAAAAAATTTACAACATTTATTAATTACTTATTTTCAATCATATTTAAAAAACCTTAGGGTAGTTATAGTAATATTGAATCTAATATTTTTTTAACAAAAATAATGATTATGTATGTAATTATTATTAATTTTAACAATTCGGTTAGACATTTGAAAAATTTTGAATTTAAGTATAGTTTTTTGTCAAATTTAAAATATGTGTATGAAAAAGTCACATTTGACTAAATTTATGTAGAAAAATGTCTATTTTCCCAAAACCTTAATATCATAACAAAATAATATTATAAATAGATTTTAAATTATATTGAGAATATCTAAATTATTAAAAAAATCATAGATTTTTTCATAAAATTGATCAAAATATAAATTATTTGGATTTATAAATAATAAATATTTTGACATGACATTTTTTAAAATTAAAAATTTTGTATTTTTTTCATTAGAATCATGAGTTAATAATAATATATAACCCACAAAGTAACAAAAAGAAGAAAACTTATAGGGACAGAATTAGATTAGAGAGAAAGGGAGATAGGGCTCACATATTTCGGAACTAAAAGGTTATATGATTAAAAAAATTAAATAATATTAATTTGATATAATAATTGATGAATGAATGCATGCATGAATGTCAAGTCTCGTGGCTTAACCCCAAAAGCTCACAACCGTGAAATGACCCCAACGTCTCGTACCCAATGCCCCAACTTGCCCCCTTTTCTTTTGTCTCATTATATTATATTATATTATATTATATATATGTATAAGTTGAAAATAGGTGGAAAAGATAAGTAGTATAAAATTTTTGTCCCATTATATATATATATATATATATATATATATATATATATTTGTGAAATATCATGTGCTTGCAAATGTAGCGTTTTAGAATAAAACTATTACAAAAAATATTATGACAACAAAATTAAATTAAGACATCAAGAGGTAAATAAAATCAGCCAAAATAAAGTTTTGTATGTAAACATTAATTAATTGTATACTCTCATTTGGGTATTCGATATTTTTTTTTATAAATCTAAATTAAATACTCGGGCAGCTCTTGCAAAAAAAACAAAGATGCCTTTATATTATATATAATAATAAAAGTTTTTAGTGGATAATAATTTATTTTTAATATCTCAAAATGAAAATTTTTTTCCGAAGAAGAAAAAACAAACTGAAATAATAAACCTAGATGGATCGAATATAAAATATTTAAAATAAATCGAATTAAATCAAACCAAACTAAACCGATTAAGTTGTAATCGGCCACTTATACTAATCGATTTTTCTATATACATTCAAAACCTTCTCCAATTACGATATAATATCTAATTTTAGACAAATGAAAGGAAATCGAAAAATCAATTACTTCCCACCCAAGAAACTGTTCCAAAACGGTCCAACCCCCCCCC